AAAAAAAAAAATGAAACTGTACATTCCTTTACAGTGATCCAACTTTTTGTGTTTAGGCTGAATTTTTTCTGCTTGCCACAAAAACTCGCTAACAAGTGTGAAAGATGCTTATGGGTTATGTATTCAGAATGGATTTCTAATCACTGTAAAGCAAGGAACTACTATGATAAAACCCATACATAGCAGCAACAAACAAGTGGAGCGAAAATTGATATGGTTGCTAAAAACATGGTTATGGAAGGGAACAGAGGTTCATATTTATTAAAACATTTTTGAAAGTAGTAGTAATAATTATAATATTTGAGATGTCTTTCAAAAAATCTTATCGACCCGACCCCGCGTTTTTGAACAGTGTATGTCTCATATGTATATATGTTGGTGTTCTTGCATGTGATATTTATGTTGATGTTTGTGCTTGTTTTGTTTGTCCTGTATCTATATTCTGTGTCTGTAGAGATGTCAGCGGCCTGATCCCATGATTTACTGTGTTCTAAGGTCGTATCAAGTGGAGTTTCCATTACTGTTTATTGTGTGGTCATATATACTCACAAATACACACGGCATGTCTTGTTAACGCCACTAAATTGAGACCATCTTTAATGCGGTCTGGTCCATACACTGGTTCTTTGCAATCTCATTTATTTATCTGACAGCAAGCAGACAACCGTTCAAGCATTGTGACTTCTCTTTATTGTGCTTTGAAGTAGTTGTATGTGTGTCTTTCATCAGTTATTTATAAAATAGCTTTAACTCTATACAGTTATTTTTTCTCCCTGCAGTACAGTCCACATTGATTTCCTTTTCCTCCATAATGTTTCATAATTCAGTTGCACTTCTCTTGCATGGCCTGCAACCCTACTTTTGCCTTTCAAGGGTTGAGATTTGTGGGGCATAACAAATTATTAGCATGACATTGTCAGTAGATCATAGGTGAAAATGGTGCATTATTTGCTTTGTGGTTCATTTAGAACTGTTAAAATGTTACAACTTCATTGCTTCTTGTTTTTGTTTTGCTGTAACCTTCTAATGGTTTGCTTCTCCCACTGTCTGTTCCAATAGGTCTGATTTCAGGTCAATATGCTTCAAAATTTCTTGATCTTCTCTCCCTCTTACCCCCCACGTTTCATTCCCTGGGAAGCTGAGTACTTTCATCTTTTCTTATTTTATATCTTTGCAGGACTTGTCCCTGTATATGGACATGT